AGGAAACAACAAAATATTGATATATTAATATAAAACTTTGAAATACTCGAGCAGAGTATACAGAGCTACTTCAAGTGAAGCATGTGTCTGTATTTTATGTACTTGTATAAACCGTATCCTATACTAGTGTTAGTAGCTGTTGTCTATGAATAACACACAATCTAATATAAGAAGAAATAGAGTTGGGTTGTAAATTAGAACATTCCAACCTGGGATGGTTTAATGGACTGGGTGTTGACGCAGGTGGTTGGAGTGGTTGTAGGCGGAGGTCGCGTTGTTTGTTTTGGTTTGGTTGAGAGCTGCGGGTTCCGTGCTGGTGAAAGGTGTTTGTGGGTGGAGGATGAGGGTGGGGTTTTTCCAGAAGAGAAGGAGGCCTGCCTAGGATGAAGAGCATGCCTTGGGAGGGTCACCTTCAAGTAGAAATACTTCACTGCCAATCAGTCCTCACCATCACCAATGGCACTACCGAGTTCAGGATATAGTGCCTGAATGCAACGGCTAATGTTCCCAGTAAAACTGTAAACGGATGCTGAATACATTACCAGACGTGGTGTTTGAACTGAGTGTCGGAATTGAGGACTCTGAGGTGGGGGTCTGCGAGGTGAGTGGAGGTGTGTGGGCAGTTGTTTGGGTGACTGAAGACATGACAGGAGCTTCTGTCATGGTGCGTGGAGTTGAGGCAGATAGGGTGGTTACTGAAGGTGAAGTGGAATTTGTGGTGGTGTGTGGAGGTAAGAGAGTTGAATTATCTGCATTCCAAGAGAACAAAAATCAGGCCAAACTCAATGCCACAATGTCAGTTTCAATAACATTAAAAAGTGCTACATGTAGTATTTTCCCTCCAACTATGAACGCTGATCCAATAAATCCTGTTTCCTCTTGTCACAAAGAAGGTGATTACTCATTTACATCTACCTCACATTTGTTTTAACAAGACAAAAGGACAAGAGATGATTAAAAAAAAAGCACTGAGTGGAAGTAAATTCATATTTAGAGGGAGAAAGTAGTATTAGTACTTTACAGCTAGAACAGCAGAAATAGAATCAGGTTGAGCATTTGTTGCTTTGAGTTCAAATGCTTCCTGTTTTTGTCCGTTTCCTATTGCAAAAACTATCAAAGTTTCCTAAATGGTTGCCAACCTTCATACGATTGTGTCAACAGTGGTACAGTGTTGGTATAACGCTGCACTAATAGCTACGTAGCTTAGCTTCTGCACAGAGTAAATTTAAGTCAATATATTAACAAATTATTGACTAAACAATAAAGATATATTGTATATAAATATATAAAGTAACTATTATTAAACCAGAGTTAACAAAGACGTTTTTATAGTTTTCTCACTGTGGGATAAACTCTCACAGTTTATTTCTATCAAGCCAGGATCAGTAGATAAGATGGAAGCAAGTTTACCAAATTTTTCAGATAATATCATGTTCAACTGCACCCAATATCAGGAAATATTAGGTTTCGGTGACTTACTTGTTCCTTTGATGAAAAGTTGCATTTGTAACACAATAGGCCCTTGCCAAATTTCCCTAATCTAAATCCACTTTACACAGAAGAGCTTTTTTCTAATCCTAAAATAACTTTTATATTATAAATCCTCCAGACTCAATTTATTTGAGTTAGCAGTTTCCCAAAATGAGATCTGAGATACAGCATAACTACAAATGAAAAGAGGTTAGGAAAGGAGCAATCACAACATTTGATTGAGACATTTCAGACAAATTAGACAGGAACCAGAAATGTGAAAACATTTCATTGTGCAGGAAAGCAATGCACTATTGCTTTAGCTCAGCCTAAAAGCAAGCCAGAAAAACACCTGAAGGCTCATTTTCCATTCACTATATGAATGTCACAGTAGCTGCTTACTATATCAACATAAGCATTTCATGCTGCTTTGGAAAAGCAAAATTTTCTGAAATGAGCACAAATGACATTTACATATTTTGTACATAAATAACTGTGTGTAGATAAGAAAATAAACAAAAAAAATTTTGTTTATCATGTTGCTAACTGTTAGGTTTGTGCATGTAGTTTGCAATTAAAACTTGGGTGAGACATGTCATTAAAATGGAGGCCAATGTTAACCCAACTACTGAATAAATATACTTCTGTCACTCATTGTGCATATGTGAGAGGACATTATTTACATTTGAAGATCATACTCATTTCATGAAATTTAGCTGGCTTCGGTGCTGCTGTGGCCGTGAAGAGATGCAACAGTGTGAGATAGTGGGAAGCTGCAGCCGGTTGCATAATTAGCATGAAAAATTTTATTTATTATAATAACAATTAAATGTTGTATAGTAGGTAACTTGTGTTTTACCACCCACCTGTATCATTTTGACCTGGAATTACAAAAGAGAAAAGAGATCAGCTTTTTTGTCATAAAACAGCACAGTATACTGCACAATACACAGAAAAAAGATGCAAACAAAAAACATCAACAAATGTGTTCTATATGTTAAGTTTTATTAAAGCATCCACCTCCATCTGACCAATAAAAGTCTTTCAGCAGGGCCAAACCATTATCAGGTCAAAAAGAGGAAAAACTGACTATTTCTTTATCTGAAGTTGTGCGTGAGGCAGCGCTGTACAACCTGGTTGCTATGACACTGCGGCAAAGAGCAACACTTGCTATTCCAGGCAGCAAACCGCTATTTCCTGCTTTGCACTGAAAGCCAGATCCTCCCCATACATATAAAATTTGTTTCAGTTTGGACAGATCACTGGCTCAGAGTGAACAACCAATGGGCTCTGATAATGGACTTTCCCTCGTTATATCCTCGTTCTTAGTCATTAGAAATTACAGCATGAACCAATATTGTTTAAAATAATACTTATGCTCAATAATCAAAAAAATAATCTATATCAAACTCTGTATTTGGATATTACAATACTTCTTTTTTTCTAATAACATGGAACAAAAAAAAAGGCTCTTAGCTGTTTTGTCCATTTGTTCTTTATAATAATAGCAATGAGCAGTGAGTAATGAGGTGGTAGAGGACAGTCAAACAGTGTGTGTCAGGATGTGGTTGGCGTGTTCTTGTTTCACTACATCGAGCAGAGATGCATGCTCTCTGCAGTGACATTTCACCACGTTATACTTTGTGGTGACTGATTTGAATTGTTTCAGTGAAAGGTTTGAGAGATGAAACTGTACTCAATTAATATCTTTGATGTGAAAAATACATTGAAACCCTAATTTTATCAAGTTTGTTTCAGCCACACCATTGTAGCAATAACAATTTCTGCTAAAATGGTCAAACTAGTTTAAGTGATGCCTCCTCTGTGCGAAATTGAAGTGTGATATTGACACTGTTACATAGACCTGTTCAAGGTCACAAACTTTTTATCCATGGGAAAGAAGCAGAAGAAGAGGAAGAAAGAGGTAGAGGAAGGGAGACAGGGCGACCACTGAGAAGAAATTCAACTGTGCAAAGTTGACAGCAGTTATAGTTACAGTGACAATCAGAGTTTAAAGGCCACCAGACGCCTGTCCTCAAATCCATTTACTTGCCCGACACTTTGTAAAGAAACTGATAGCGTGTCTGGGTCTGTCTCTCAAGTATCAGTTTTCTCTCTATCAGTGTTCACCATCAGTTTTTTTATCTGCCTCTTCTGTCTTCCTATATTTTGCATTCACTGCAGAGTACCATCCCCTGTTTTGTGACAAGCACACTCCCCCCTCTCACAGAAACTGCTATAATCGTGCAGTAGGCTTAACATTTCTGACCTCACTTCTTCATTTTAGACACTGCACTTCCCTTTTTTTTTCATGAATTCTCAAGTCATTTACTTTTGCTCGGTCTCAGTCTGCCCGCGCTGCTCTGCTCCGCTCTGCTCTGTCAGGAAATGAATGCAACTGAGAATGGAACACGGAAGTGGTCAACTTTTTGATCACACAACTCTAGACTGCTGCAAGCTAAAGAAAGCTTGGAAATCTGCATCTTAATGGGGCGTAGTTGCTCTCACGCAGTTAGTTTAAGTAAATAAAACTGGTGCGCACGTGATTTTTGGCCTTTAGGATTAAAATAGTATTAATAGCCAAGTTCTGAATGAGGATGAAAGCTCTTTGACACATCTTCTGCTACTTAATAACACTTGTGCGACAAAGACATATTGAATGTTTCAAAAGAACAGTACTGTATATTATAATTCATTTTCTCCTACAAGATCCTTCCTTTGAATGTAGGACTTGTAAAGTAAAGCATCACAACACTTTTTACTAAAAGTAGTAAAAAAAATACTCCATCACAGTTAAAATTCTTGCATTTAAAACTGTAGGCTACTTAAGTACAAGTAAGTGTAGTATTTACTTAACATATAAAAGTATCCACTTTTCAGGCCCAATGCACTCTCTATAATGTTATAGAGTTAAAACTGGATAATTATTCCTGACACATTTACATGTAAATAGTATTTTAATGTTGTGGTTGGCCGAGTTGGAGCTGATTGTAGGTATTTTTAAATACTGTCATTATAGGTTTATAAAATTATAATAATAAAAGTAGCTATAGCAAATGCATAATATGTCCCTGTGGAATGTAGTAGAGTATAAGTATAAAGTACCATAGAGTAATATACATCAGAGTGGTACTAAAGTTATTGATTACAGTAAGTGTATTTAGTTATTATCCATCACTGCCTGTATGCTATTAATGATGAGATAACTACATTTATACAATCTTTGGAAGAGTCTAGTTTCAAGAGTTTCAATTCTGCCAATGGGTGATGAATGGAAAAGTCAAGATGTATATAAATAAGAAGCGTCTGTTGATGCGGTGCACCATGATGACTCACCCGCACGCTAGTTGAGAAATACTGTATGTTAGA